GGTATCTACCTAAAACACAATAAACCTGTCAGATATGAATAATAGAGATATGTGTTCAAGGTAGCAGGCACCTTGTTGGACCTAACTCACGTTATGCCTGCAGTTTATACAAAGTAGTGGAATTCCTGATATTCAGCTTTAAATCCCAACTGACATCACAAACCTGTATATAAGCAGTTGGACAGACATTGTACTACCAGCCCAGGGGCAGACTGACCATTTGGAAATTCGGGCACTGCCCGAGGGCCCGGGGTCAGTAGGGGACCCCATGAGATGCCCCTGGTATCTTTTTCATAGGCTTTTTTGAGTTTGGGGAAAGACACAAGGGCCCCATGATCCCCTATTGCCCAGGGGCCCCATGAGTTGTCAGTCCGCCCCTGTAGCAGCCTCAATTTTCACAATTGTATTTCCACTTTCCTGTTAAAGAAGATGTGCAGGATGTCTCAGGGCCATATCAGATGGGTGGTTTTGTGGCTGCAAATAGGGCAAAATCAAATGTTCTCATTGTAAATTCTCTGAAGATTGAATGTTGTTTGTTTGTAAAAAAAAAAGTGTGAAAAAGAAAAATACTGCATTATGGCCTCTAGATGGCTCTGAGCATCTTTGGAAATAAGTATGCTCCTCAGCTTCAGTTAGTGGTCATAAAACACTATTTTCTCTATTCGCACTTTTTTTTTTCAAGGAATTACCTTGACCCTGTTGAGAATATAGCCTGAGAACATTTAATTTTTGCCTCATTTGCACATGTAGCACCTTCCTAGGTAGCTAAGGGGAGCTAGTTGATTGTTTTTAGTTAGTGGCTTAAGAGCAGCCAAGTGGAATAGTCAGAGGGGGTCAATTTTCGTGCAGGGCTGAGACGCTCTGCAGACCAGCTCTCTGGAACTTCCCCCTGGTCTAGAGACTTGGAAAACTCACTAGAATTCCATGGGGCGGGGTGAGGAGTGGCTGGTCTGCACTCTCAAAGGATAATGACCAATCCCCAAGCCGGAGGCTTGGCATGGGAACAGGACAGCTCTTAAGAGTGACTGAGCCTGCTGCTCAGCAGCAGGAGAGTTGGGGTGGAAGATGGACTAAGCAGGATGGTGTGTGGAGCCTAGGATGGGGTCCAGAAGAGGGGTCTACCTAAAGGCAGAGGAGCTGCAAGGGAGAATCTCTCCTGAGGCAGGACAGCCTGGGAATCAGGGAAGGAGCCAGCCCAAAGTAAGGCCCGAAGGCAGCCACCAACCTATAAGCTTGCTGGATAAGGGGAAAGGGCATTTGGGTGGGAAACCTGACTAGCCCATCTGAGACTGCTTTCATTTAAGGTGGCAGCTTCTGAGACCTCTTGGCCAGGGATTCCCTTGGGCAGCTGGGAGAAGGAGATTTCATCTGGGGTCCGAGGAGGTACACAAGGAGAGGCTGGCTAGCTCTCCAAGAAGAGAAGAGACAACTCCTTTTGACTATTTGTATACAGTTCCAGGATGTTGTTCTCAGTTTTACAGTTCTTTGGGCATCCCATGTACTCCTCATCCCCATCCAAGTTATCATACTCTAATTAAATCCAAAAAAACAAGTTCAAGGACGGTTTACTGTATCTGGAGTGCAAGTCTGGAAGGAAATGTGTGTTGCTTAGTTGTGCAGGACTATAGGGGGACCCAAATCTCTAGCAGAATTAATACACTGTACATACAGTTCTGAGAAGAACAGCTCTGCATTTTCTCATATATACCTCCTTAAATATTTAGCAATCTGTACTTGGTCTGACAGCAACTGTCTGTATGAGGACATTTATGATTCAGCTCAACCAGCAGAGAGGGCTATAATGTGAGGGAAGGAAGCAGCATTTACAAAAATCAATCACCAACCATAACATCCAGGTATACAAGACTATAAAAATTAAATAAAATGGCTTAAAACTTCAATTTGATTTTAAGAAACTAAAATTGGTCTGCAAGGCCACCTCCCTATGGCCTCCCATGCCTGAATGTCGGTCCATTATTATGTCTGCGACCCCACTGATCAACAGTGAACCGTGAGAGGCAGAAGGGGCGACAGTATGTCGGGAAGTTGGTTTGAGCACCATAGAGAAGAGGGGTTTTGGTGCTGCTGAGGCCCTTTGCTTTTGGGTTCACTTCTTCTCAAAGCTTATAATGGAGTAGCGTCATGAAGAAAAGGGTTTTAGGATCAATTCCTTATCAACAAATAGCCCAGGCATGAGAAGAGATAGTCAGAATGTTCAGTGACCCAGAAGTGTGTGCAGCTAATCCATTTACTCTCAGCCTTTCTCATTATCCGCTCTGTTCATGAGAAATGGAGAAGGGAATGCACAGTGACCTGTTAGTCTTTAGCTGGCACAGGACTGTTAACAGTTTGCCAAGACTTCCTCTGATAACGCGTGTAACACTTTCACAGACCTGTTTCTTTTCAACAGGGGCTCTTTATATGTTCAAAAGGCCATCAGATATTTTATCTTTGGCCATGCTGCAGTGCCGGGTAATGTGGAACTTGGCACTGGAGGAGGCCAGCTACATGGGGAAGTGCAATGGGGTCACAGGAGATCAACTGATAAATAAAACTAGAGTCCCTTTTCACTAATTCCTTCATGTTTCTTGGATACGGGAACATACGATTTATTTTAACCAAACTATTATAATGAGATTAATCTGAGAAGCTGGAGAACCTTTGATCATGCCCCAAGCCCTCCTGGGGCATGCATACCCTGCTGCCCTTACACTGCAAGGGCATTTTTTGTTCCAGCCTTAAGCTCAGCTTTGAATTATAATGCTGCACTTCATATCATTGTGTACATATGGTTTGGGGTATCATTCTAAGAGAGTTGTGCACACTCTAATTCTACTGAGACCGTAAGTTACAGCTATCTTCCCACAACTGGATTATAGAGATCACACTTGCAGTGTTTAGTTCAGAGAGGTAGGACACTCCCTGCAGCTAAGTGGAGACATTAAAGAGTACAAAAGAAAAGGCAAGTGCAGTCAAAGAGATATAAAAGACATTAAAACAGGAAAATACCACATTATGACCATTAGATGGAACTCCCGATCACTAAAAAAAATATTTATTTCCAATGATCATCAGTCCCATCTAGTGAGCAAAATGCAGTATTTACCCGAGTTACACATTCACCCAATAGAGAAAATAGACTAATAAAATTTGTTTAATTACACCTCATAGGTAAATATAATTAAGGCAATTAATGTAAATACCTGAATTTGGTATCAATCTGTTGCAATCCCTGTACAGTAGAGCTCAGACTTGAAGGGGAGAAGGAGCCAATCAGTTCTACTGTAGTGCATATATGCTAAAAAGCAACAAGCTGATAGAAGGAGAGAGAGAGCTGGGGCATGCATACCCTGCTGAGGTAGGTAGGTAGATTGATTTAGTCCTCCTCTATGCTATGGCAGCAAATCATTACTACATGTATCTTAAGTGGTTGTAAACCCTCACATATACTCAGTGAAGTGACTGGCCTCACATGATACACGGCGATGAAACAAATCCTCCTACATAAGCTGTACCTGTTTTTCTGCAGTAATCTCTTAACTGCATCTGTTCAAAGTGCAGAATTTAGGCTACTTTTTCACTGATCTGTCTTTTCACTGATATGCATTTTTGCAGTAGTTTTACAGCATTTTTACTGTGTTTGCAGTGCGTTTTTAACATAACATGCAACTCAAAAAGAGCACCAAAAGCACACCGCAGGTGCGTTTAATGACCCACTGAAATCCATGGATTTCAATGGGCAGGTGTGTTGTTGGTGTAGTTTTTTACAGCACCAAACCTGGACTTACTCCGGAACCTGTGAGCATACTTAAGCAATGTCTAGGGCAGGGGTAGGCAACCTAAAGAGGTGGAGATCTACCTGAACAACATGGAAGACGTCAGAGATCATCGGGCACAGTGTCGCCTCCTCACACCTGATTTAAACCTCTAATTGCCATACTACCGTGTCGCAATCACATGCATTGCATGGCAATCATAGGTTTAAATCAGGTGGTGTGGAGGCAACATATCTCTTCCTCACCACCCTTCAAACACACTCAGAATGCTTTTCAGAGGAGCAGCAGTGCCTGCTGCACTTGTGAATGAGCCCTTAGTTGCATTCGGCAGCAGCACCCTTAGGGCTCGTTTACACATAAAGTTGGGGGGGGGGGTGGTAAAACCCTGCAGTTTAATTACGGTTTCACTTACCCCGATCCCTACCCCCTTGAGCTGCTGGGGCAGCAGCCAAAGGTGTACACATGCCGCAGCAAGAATTAAACCCCGTTACTTTTGTTGGATGCTACTGCCTGCCAATCGTGACCAATTCAAGTAAATGGGGCCACTCTGCAACTGCATGTTTCTGTGGGAATCCAAGGGGGTAAAGCAGGTGGTGAGCAAGTAACACAACGCTGCCTGTTTAACCCCTTGTTTGTTGTACTGCACAAAGGTGGGGTCATGCTTGGCAGGTGCTACACCCACCAACCATGACAGGGCGTATAGCTTCTGCTGAGGCATGTGTACACCTCTAGCCACTGCAGATATAGGGGATGCGGTTGGGGCAGGGGTGGTGAAAACATGTGTTAACTATGGGGTTTTACCACCCCCCAAACTGCAAATGTAAATGAATCCTTACTATTCTGAGCCCCCTAAAAGGCTGCTTTTACACTGATGTGCTGTGGTTTACCTTTACCGCGGGGTGCAACGCAGTGCATCTGCAACTTTCCTGGGTTAGCTGCAGTTTGCCATAGACTTCTATTATATCTTGCAGGTGTGGTGCACTTTCTCCTGCATTCAGCAAACCCTAGGAAAGCTGCAGGAACACTGCACCGCACCTGTGGTGTGGGTAAACCGCAGCACATCAGTGTGAAAGCAGCCCTATACTATTATGCCCAGTGTAATGCTTCACACTGACCTGAAGATCTCTTCTTTCCTGCTGCTGGCACCACTCTGGAGACTGCTAGCCAGGATAAGAGGTGGAGTGCAGTTGGTGTCACTCCGCATGGGACAGGAGCCAGAAATACAGAGGAGCAGGGGCGGACTGACCATTTGGAAACTCGGGCACTGCCCGAGGGCCTGGAGTCAGTGTGGGGGGCCCATGAGATGCCCATGGTACCTTTTTCATAGGCTTTTTTGAGTTTGGGCAAGGACACAGGGGCCCCATGATCCCCTATTGCCCGGGGGCCCCATGAGTTTTCAGTCCGCCCCTGCAGAGGAGGCATCAGCTCATGCAGCTCTTGCTCCCTACTACAGCTCCAACTTTCCAAGCAGTCCTCTGCATTGCACTCTGATGCTCTGGGATGGTGGGTCAGCAAGCCATGACCATGATCTACCAGTCACCTTGCCACGATCTACTGGCTGCTGACCCTCTGTCTATGGGAACCCCCTAGACAAAACAAGCATTGCAGTATCCCTTTCCATATAGCAAGGGCATTTTTTGTTCCAGCCTTAAGCTCAGCTTTGAATTATAATGCTGCACCTCATATCATTGTGTACATGTGGTTTGAGGTATCATTCTAAGAGAGCCAAATAATGATCCTCCTGCGCTCATGGGAATAATTGACAAAATACAGCTGCTGTCACTTAGCTGATCCAATAAGTGCAAAAGAGTTAATAATTAGTGAGCGCTTGATCACACAATTGTATCTCCATATAGTGTAATTATTCAAAGTGACCACTAGATAATAAAATGTGTGTTGACTCCCTGCAGTGAAAATGAAAAAATAGTGTCAACCAAAAAGAGCTAAAAACACAATTAGGCTAAATATATAGTGCATAAATCAAATAAATGAACAGAATATATATATACGTTAAAACAGAATATTGGCCACATACAATGGTGTCTAAATTATACATAAATGATATATGCCATAGGTGAACAAGACAATATCAAAGGTGAAAAAAATATTCCATGCATTGACTGTGCTTTAAGCTGGAACACACACGTGATCCCACTTCTAAGTGCAAGTACTCTCCTTCAAATGGCAGCAATGCCTGCTCACTCCTTCCTCGACCCACCAGGGCCTCAAAGCAGAACCACCTCAGTGGTGTATTCCTCTGGCAGACTCCTTATTCCTCCTCCCTCTCTTATGCAACACATAAAAATAGACAAGAAAGCTTCCATAGTGTAGTTTAAAGTAAAGCATTACAAAGTATCCACTCACATGCTCCTTTCCATGCAAAAAGCGTTTTTCCCAGCTGTGGGTAGATATGCATCACCTGGGGGAATCCAATATGGCCACTGTGTCCGGACATAGTCACCAGGAAGTAGACAAACCAGGTTTGTCTATTGCTGGTGCTTATGTCCGGACACAGTGGCCATATTGGATTCCCCCAGGTGCATGCATATCTACCCACAGGCTGGGAAAAAAAAACGTTTTTATGGAAAGGAGCATGTACGTGGAATACTTTTAATTTTTAACAGCTATTAAAACTACACTATGGAAGGGCTTTTTGTCTTTTTATGAGTTGCATAAGAGAGGAGGAGGAATAAGGAGTCTGCCAGAGGAATAAACACTGAGGTGGTAACTGCTTTGAGGCCCTGTGTGGGTCGAGGAAGGGAGGTGACAGGCATTGCTGCCATTTGAAGGATCCAGTACTGCACTTAGAATGATCACGTTGTGTTCAGTATTAAAGCACAGTTTGTAACATGGAAATTTTTCCCTTTGATTTGTACTGCCTATGGCATAGGCATTGGTATAATTTAGACACCATTGTATGTGGCCAATATTCTGTTTTCACGTATATATATATTCTGTTCATTATATTTGATTTATGCTACTATATATTTAGTTTCCTAATGTGTGTTATTTAGCTATTTTGGTTGACACTATTTTTTCTTTTCACTAGAGAGTCAACACACATTTTTATATATAGTGGTCATTTGATTTATAATTACACTTGGAGATACATGATTGTATTCATGTGATACAAGCGCTTCACTAATTTTTAATTTTATTCTCGTTGACACTGAGACCGTAAGTTACAGCTATCTATAAGTAGAGTTATAGAGATCACACACTTGCAGTGTTTAGTTCAGAGAAGCAGGACACTCCCTGCAGCTAAATGGAGACATTAAAGAGTAAAAAAGAAAAGGCAAGTGCAGTCAAAGAGATATAAAAGACATTAAAACAGGAAAATACCACATTATGACCATTAGATGGAACTCCCGATCATGAAAAAAAGTATTTATTTCCAATGGTCATCAGCCCCATCTAGTGAGCAAAATGCAGTATTTACACATTCACCCAACAGAGAAAATAGACTAATAAAATTAGTTTAAATACACATCATAGTTAAGGCAAATAGTTTAAGTACCTGCATTTGGTATCAACCTATTGCACTCACTGTACAGCAGAGATCAGACTAGAAGGGGAAAAAGCCAATCACAAATTGCAGTGCTTATATGCTAACAATGCATGTTCATTCCCAGGCTTGGGAAGGGTGAAGACTTTTACGTGTTACTTAACCACAGCAAAGAAAAAAATGATTCCCACAGGGCTGTGTTGTGTGGCAAGGCTGTGTAAACTGCAGGACTAGATGGACAGACAAATTATTTGTAATCCAGCTGCCTCATATGTGTTTCTTCTATGTATTTAGCAGTTTGTAACTGAATCCGTTGCTTTGTACTGCATAGGCATGGAGGCTTGGGAAATTAAACCAGGGTCAGTATTTACTGGAAAAGTTGAAACCTTTTCTTTAATTACCTTTATCTCTTGTGCCGTTGATCATGTTTATATATGATTTTCTCTGAAAAGAACTATTGCTTATGTATTTTTTGTTGCATGCTCATCTTCAATAGGGATGACTTAATATGGACAAATGACCTTATTCGTTCAATGACATTGACCTAATATGGCCATGTTAGCTCAGTTATGGCAAAAGCATCCCCCACCCCTTTGTGTATGTCAGACAGCTCATTGGCCCAGGAATGACAGCTGACTTCCAGGTTCAGACCTGAACCAGGTTTGGGTCAAACATAAGTTCATCCCTAATCTTCAATGCATTTTCATCTTTAATAGGGATGACCAAAAATGGTCACATGGTATTAGGTCAATGACATTGACCTAATATTGCCATGTGGCCATGTTAGGTTCAGTTATGTCATAAGCATCCTTGACTCTTTGTGTACATCTCATAGCTCATTGGCCCAGAAATGAGAGTTGACTTCCAGGTTCAGACCCAATTCGGAATTTTGGTCAAACACAAGCTCATCCCTAATGTTCAATGCTTGTTCATCTTCAATAGGGATGACTTAATATGGTCACATGGCCTTATTAGGTTGATGACATTGACTTAATATGGCCATGTGGCCATGTTAGGTCAGTTTTCTCATAAGCATCCTCCTTGACTCTTTGTGTACATCTCATAGCTCATTGGCCCAAAAATGAGAGTTGACTTCCAGGTTCAGACCCAATCCAAATTTTGGGTCAAACAAAAGCTCATCCCCAATTTTTAATGCATGTTCATCTTCAAAAGGTTTGACCTAATATTGCCACATGGCCTTTTAAGTCAATGACATCGACCTAATATGGTCATCTGGCCATGTTAAGTCAGTTATTGTCAGGGATGCGGGTGTGACCAGAAGTGAGTGGACTGACACAGGGAAATGTAGGCTTCAGATATAGTAAATAATATAATTTATTGAGACTAACAATACAAATATAAACGCAGAGCACCAAACCCCAAGCTAACACAAATACATACAACAAGGTGAAACAAACCCAAACCTAAACTGATATAGATACACAGGAACATACACATATAGAGCACAACGTAGTTGGGCAGGCCGGGTCGATAACTATCGGGCAGGTAGGTACAGGAGGAGCAGGCGGAGAAATGGTCAGGGTCACAAGCCAGGGATATACAGGAGAAGTCAGCAGAGTCAGGATCAGGCAGGGTCGGCAACAAGTCAGGCAGAAACAGGAACAGGAATGCAGGTTACAAGATACAGGGGCCCATGGAAAAACACACACCGAGGCCCTGACTATGAGTCTGGCCATTCCTTAAATACAACCCCTGCAATCAGCTTCAGGTGTTTTGGCTGACTGCAGGGGTGAGTCTCTGATTGCTGAGAGCACCTGCTGGCCAGCCCTGGTACTGCAGCCCACAAGGCAGGTGAGTCCCACCGTTATTGGCAAGTCCATTCCTGACAGTTATGTCATAAGCATCCCTGCCCTTTTGTGTACATCTTACAGTTCATTGGCTCAGGAGTGACAGCTGGTTTCCAGGTACAGACCTAGACCTGGGTTTGGGTCAAACATAAGCTCATCCCTACTCGTCAACTACCCAGGTTGGTGATAGGCTTACTTTAATGATGGTATTAATGCCAAGGCTGAATTTCCATCAAGACTTAAGCAATGTTTCTACGCTGTAAAAGAAATGTAACATTGAATCTGCTTTTTAGAATGTACAGGAATTATAAGTCGTTAACTTCAGGTTGCCAAAATATACCTGATAATAACTCAACACTGTTCCGCTGTGGGTCCGCTCCAAGCCCAACACAGCACACAAATCCACAGCATTCTTGTATAAATATTAGTGGAAGAGAAAATAGGGAACCCAGTAAATGGTCTAGTGCCTATGCATTATTTTTCTATAAGAGCTCTTCTGCAGTTAAGAGTGTCCATAGCTATTAAAACAAGATTTTTTTTCTTTAAAGCGGTTTACATAAGGCTTTGGTTCCTTCGCTTATGGAATGGAGCTGAGTTAAATGTGAGCTCTTTATTTTGCCCAAAAAGAACACAACGTGAATCCAACATTTATGGTCATTTCTCATTAAATTAAAATCCATCACAGACATGTAAATTGGCTCCCAAAGGAAAAAAAAGCGGGACCGGGTAACACAAATATTTTTATTAAAGAAATAAATAACAGATTTTTGTGCCGTAATTAGTAAACCAGCCATGTGGTCTAAAGATGGTCACAAATACAAGACTAAGTGAAGGTGATTGACTGGAAAATCTCTATTAAAGAGCTGACAGCCCTAACCTGGTTCCTGTTAATGTAAAAATATGGAAGGCAAGGCAATTTAAAGGACATGTCCACAGTCAAAGTCCTTGCTGGTCAAAAATAATGAGGAAAATTACAGATTTATATAGTTGAGTGTAAGTGGTATCTTTCAACCTAAATTAGACCTTGCAATAAAATGCAAGGTAAACAAATATTGTCCAGGCCCCCTCCACCACCTGATGTTAGTAGTTTCAAATCTAACCTGCAAAGGAATTTAAACTCATTAAAACTAGTGATAGGTCTCTGAAGGGTGAGCCAC